ACTAAATATATAACACATAGTTTGCATATGACACTCTCCAGCTACAGCTGGTTATTGAAAGATAAGGCAAACTAACAGTGATCAATTTGAAGGCCAAAAATCTTGTTGGCACATTAGAATATTTATCTACAATAAAGAAGCTCCTTTAAGAAACATTGTTGTGACATTGTCAATTCCCAATCTTTACAAATTCCTGATTAATTTCTACAATAAAGTTGTTTGAGGTGATCATTTCAACAAGTAATACAAAGTTTCCATTTCGTTGTCTGAATGACCTGCAAAATTGGAATTAATTCTCTAAAATTTAATAATTATGAATACTTCAATTACTAAACTGGACAACTTCATTTGTGCATTTGCTTCCTTGTAACAGAAATCATTAATAAGCTACCAAAAAGTCAAAAAGCATAACCTAAAAATGGTAAATGATTTTTATTTCTCTTCTTTACAGAAACACGCACATCCTGTAAAAGGTCAACACTTGTTGACCATCCAAATTTCCTCTAAAATGAGCATCTAGCTAGGCAATTTCAGAGGGCAATCTAAAGAACATTAGTGAACCAGATGGACTTTATAGCAACTGATGATATTGTTATGATCATTATTGCTGACAGTAGCTTTACATTTCAGATTTATGAGCTGAATTTCAATTCCACAACCTGCCATCCCTCACACCCCCTCCCCGCAATAACAAAAACAGAATCCCCCTCATCCTCACATACCACCCCACCAACCTCTGGATCCAACGCATCATCCTCCACCACTTCAGCCACCTACAATCTGACCCCACCACCAAAGACATTTTTCCCTCCCCACCTTTATGTGCCTTCCGGATGGACCACTCTCTCCATCACTCCCTTGTCCGCTCCACACTCCCCACCAGCCCCACCACCCTCGGCACTTTTCCCTGCAACCGCAGGAAGTGCTACACCTGCCCCTACACCTCCCCCCTCAACCCCATCCCAGGCCCCAAGAAAACCTTCCACATCAAACAGATGTTCACTATACATCTGCTAATGTGGTATACTGTATCCGCTGTTCCCGATGTGGCCTCTTCTACATCGGGGAAACCAAGCAAAGGGTTGGAGACCGCTTTGTGGAACACCTACGCTCGGTTCGCAACAAACGACTGCACCTCCCAGTCGCAAACCTCCCCCTCCCACTCTTTGGACGACATGTCCCTCCTAAGCCTTCTCCAGTGCCACAATGATGCCACCCGAAGGTTGCAGGAACAGCACCTCATATTTCGCTTGGGAACCCTGCAGCCCAATGGTATCAATGCGGACTTCACAAGCTTCAAAATCTCCCCACCCCCGAACGCATCCCAAAACCAGCCCAGCTCGTCCCCGCCTCCCTAACCTGTCCATCCTTTCTCCCACCTCAACCCCCACCCCCACATCCTACCTACCAGCCTCATCCCCGCCTCCTTGCCCTGTATGTCTTCCCTGGACTGACCTATCCCCTCCCTAACTCCCCACCTACACTCACCTTTACTGGCTCCATCCCCACCTCCTTTCCACCTATTTGCTCCTTTATCCATCTTCCATCTGCCTCCCCCTCTCTCTCTGTTTATTTCATAATCCTCTTCCCTTCCCCCATTTCTGAAGAAGGGTCCAGACCCAAAATGTCAGCTTTCCTGCTTCTCTGATGCTGCTAGGCCTGCTATGTTCATCCAGCTCTACGCCTTGTTATAATAGATTTGTCAATGTCAAATCTTGTCTAATAACCTAGCTGAATATTTTTAAGGAAGTTAAGGTGTTAAATGGGGAAGTGTCAATGGATTTCTCAGCTTGTTTATTAAGATTCCAGATAAGAGACTATTAGCAATAATGAGAGTTCAAACATTTAGAAGCAAACGAACGAACAGGGTAGGACATTGTCAAGAGATTGGAGACAGAGAGCAAAAAATAATGGACAGTACTCCAAATCAGCTGTATGCATCTTTGTTTGCATCAGGGATCTGTGCAAACATATATTAGGTTTTGCAATGATTTCAATAAAGGAACAGAGAGTATCATATCAACTAAAATCTGAAAGAACTGGGGATGCTCTAAATCAGAAACAAAAACAGAAGTTGCTGGAAAAGCTGAGCAGGTCTGACAGCATCTGTGAAGAGGAATCAAAGTTAACTTTTTGGGTCCAGTGACCCTTCCTCAGAACGTTCTGAAGGAAGTGGAAGGAAATTTCCAGAACATTCCGAGGACGTGTCACTGGGCATGAAATGTTATTTTGATTTCTCTTCACAGATGCTGCCAAACCTGCTGAGTTTATCTGGCAACTTCTATTTTAGGATCACATCAACGTTTCCTAACCGTACAAACTTAGGCAACAATTCTATCAGTAAGAGGCAGATGGAATTCACAGAATGATAAATAATTACAGCACACGAAGCCTTTCTTCTAGACCTGCTCCCCCACCTTTTCGCTGGAGTGCCACAAATGCTCTTCCTCGAGATAATTATCTAATTTTCTTTCAAAGGCCACAATTCAGTCTGCTCCTGCCACAATCTCAGACAGTGCATTGTAGATCTTCACTGCATAAAGATTTGTCCTCTTGTCATTCTTAGTTTCCTTGACTAATCACTGCATCTGAGCAATTCCTTTTCTAGGTCCAAACATTTCCCTCCTCTCCTTTCATGACTGTTTTACCATTCATATATCTATAGAAGACTTCTGAACTGTTTTATGATAGCTGCCAGTTTCTGCTCATCTACTCTCTTTGCTTATCTTATCTGGACTGCTTCTCAACCTTTTCCTTAGCCATACTAAACCTTTTGCTCTTTCCACTATATGATCCTCTTACCAACATCTGATTCCCCTTATTCTGCAAGACCACATCCAGCTACGCCTATTTCTTCATTATAATGAAATAATGGTGTAAACAAATCTCCTGAACACACGCTGAAAACTCTTGTCCCATTCTTTACATTTACACAAATAGTATCACAATCTATATTGGCACCTCTCTAGTGTCGTTGCAAAATGTGTTCCTGTACATCTTCCCCACCTGTTGATGACCTATAGGGTACGCCCAGTTAAATGTGGAGTTATCTCATTATGTTCCTAAGATAGTAAACAAGTAGAAAATTTAACTAAAAAGGAGATTTCTTAGGATCATAGGAGGCTGGCATAAAAACGGGTAGAATTTACTATTTCATAACCCTCTAGTCAGATCACATCTGGAGTACATTATTCAATTCTGACAGTTATAAGGCTAGAGGCATGAAATTGAAAGTTTCATTTTTTATTAACTTGTTTATGGGGTGTGGGCCAGCATTTATTTCCCATCACACAGAGGACAGTCAAACAGCAATCACATTGCTGCAGGTCTTGAGTTAGGAGGTGGGCCAGACCAGGTGAGGATGGCAGATTCCCTTCCCGAAAGGACATGAGTGAACCAGATGGGTTTTTACATTAACCAACAGTGGTTACATGGTTACCTTTAGGTTAGTTTTTAAATTCCAGATTTTTATTGAATTCAAATTTCACCATCTGCCAAAGTGGGATTCAAACCCACATCTCCAAAATATCAGGCTACAGATTGAGATTATTTATCTAGTGACATTACCACTATGCCGCCAACGCCCTGATGAGAATTACATAGGAAAAGGATAGATTGAAACAATCTGGTGAGGGAGTCCAGGACAAGGGTAAATAAAATTAATCTTAGTCATTCAGGAATACTAGAAATCACTTTTAATACAAAAATTGGTGGAAAATTGAGAATTGAAAATTCAAAAAAGATGTAAAAACCGAGCTTTGTAGATTTTAGTTAGCAAAAGGTTATTAGGAAACACGGAACTGAAAGCAGAAAAATGAATTTGAAAAACAGATTTCAACAACAGATCAGCACTGTATTGCAATAATTGAATAATGGAACAGGACTGAAGGGTTAAATGACCTATGTGTAGTGTACATGTATTAAAAGACAGGATTTTTGTCTGACCGATTCTTGTTTTGGCCTGATACTCACATTTTTTAAAAAATTGTTTGACACATTTATGCTGATAAATTCTTGAAGTGAGCCTAAATCTATGACAATCTAGACATCAAACTTCAATATTTTCAGATTTCCTTACAGATTGAAATAATTTCCAAATAAATGTGTCATGTTTAAAATTTCTTTTTTGACCTGAATTCAGAAATTTACAAGCAACTTTAATTTTCTTATAATTATCTCATAAGGAATATGAGGAGATACCATTATGTGGGTCTTTCCACTTAGACCAGATTTTCATAGAGAATACTCCAGCAACAGAATAAGGTGGAATCGGGCCAAATCAAATATTGTTCTATCTTGCCACCTAATTATCACTGCCATTTACAAAACAAAAAAGAAGTTGTTAAATTTGCCAAATTTACATTGACTCCTCAAGTGTCAATAATCTAGAGCAGATTTTTGGCAACATAGTTACTACCTGCACAAAACTATGCTGTGGTTGAGTAATAACACAGTTTCCATACACTTCTCTGAATGTCATAAAGCAGTGCAAGGTGTTAAGATAATAATATTGTTCATACTTATTAAAAATAAGATAACAGGTATTTCACATTGTTCCCAACTTTAACTATATTTACCAAGAACAATGATCAGAAATCTCTATTAGTTATTCCACTCTCAAAACTCAGTCTTGGAAAAGCAAAAGTTGCTACAATTTAAGCAGATTATACAGATTTTTCTTGTTGTTATTTGAAGTAGTGCAAGAAAAAGTGAGCGAGTGATATAAAATTCAAATGGGTGAAAAGACATATTCTTTAATCATAAGATGCCATTATTTTGTTCGAATTCAGAATTACTTCATAAAACCGAAAAACGTAACTTGAAAGGTTCAAAAACAGACAATACACAAACAAAATATTAGCAAATTAAGCAAGGCAAAAGAGCTGACAGTAAAAATAAATGGACTAGCACTTACAATAATTTAAGTGAAATGCACCCTGAAAATAAATGTGTTCAAATAATCATAATGGTTGCACTTATTTTAACTCCCAAGTCTTTACCTTTGCCATCTGTGCTTGGACACCATTCCCCTTTAAGGCAGCCACAGCCTTTTGAGCAGCAGCTGGACTGTCGAAATCCACAAATCCATAACCTGAAATGTAATAGCATACAACACAATTACTACTTAACCAAGGCCTCATACATTCATTAAACATAGATGAGGCACCTGTATTATTGTCCCTTCAACATAGATTTAATGTACGTATAATGTTATGGCCAATGCTCAGCCAAAATCAAAAAGAAATTAACATTTAACAGGAAAGAAAATCATACCAGAACCTTGTCAAATGGATTCTGGATATTTTCAGTACCAAACAGCTATATTGATCATTTACTACTACAATATGAATGACAACCAATAATGCAAACCATTGTTATGCACAGAGCATATCTACATCTCTATTTTAAGAAATTTTTTCAACATGAAGATTATGCAGTTTAAAATTCTTATTAGGTGCAGGTTGTTAAATCAGACATAGATAGACTGCCTCAAAAGCAGGATCTTCATACCAAATGTTGCGATCTGGTAGTTGGCTTCAGTCTCTTGCAATGTAAAATATGCTTGTTCTACATAATAACATTGGAACATAAGAACTAGGAGCAGGAGTAGGCCATCCGGCCCCTCGAGCCTGCCCCGCCATTTAATAAGATCATGGCTGATCTTTTTGAGACTCAGCTCCACTTACCTGCCCGCACACCATAACCCTTAATTCCTTTACTGTTCAAAAATTTATCTAGCCTTGCCTTAAACACATTCAGCGAGGTAGCTTCAACCGCTTCACTGGGCAGGGAATTCCACAGATTCACAACCCTTTGGGTGAAGAAGTTCCTCCTGACCTCAGTCCTACATCTGCTTCCCTTTATTTTGAGGCTATGCCCCCTAGTCCTAGTTTCACCGGCTAGCGGAAACAACCTCCCTGCCTCCACCTTATCTTCTGATGTGCTTATCCACCCATTAGGTGGGTCTGCTTTGGCCCTACAGTCTGGCAATATCTCTTTGTTGTGTTGCTAGGAAATAGCAAACGCGTTCACAGTAATTTACCAAAATTCATTGGACTCTGGTGCAGTTGCGGCAGATTGGAAAAAAGAAAATGTGACACCACCGTTTAAAAAAGGGAAGTAGACAAACGGCGGGTAACTGTAGGCCCGTTAACTTAGATTCAAGCATTTTCCCCAATACAGAAGTTATCATTAAGGAATAAATAGTGAGACATCGGGATAGAAATTGTCCTTTGGGCAGATGCAGCATGGGTTCACGTTTAACTAATTTACTGAAATTCTTTGAGGACATTATGAGCATTTGAGGACAATGGGGAATTTGGATTTCCAGAATGTATTTGGCAAGATACCACACAAAAGGCTGCTGCATAAAACATAAGTGCACAGTGTTACGGGTAATGTTTTAGCATGGATAGAAGATTGTTAACTAACGGAAAGCAAGACTGGGGATAAATGGGCGTTTCTCTGGTTGGAGATCAGTGGATAGTGGTGTCCTTCAGGGATCATTGTTGGGACCACAACTGTTTACAATTTACATGGATAATTTGGAGTTGGGGACCAAGTGCAGTGTGTCAAAGTTCACAACTGACACTAACATGTGGTGGAGCAAAATATGCAGAGGACGCAAAGTCTACAGAGGCATATAGATAGGTTAAGTGTGCTGGCAAGGGTCTGGCTGATGGAGTACAACGTTGGTAAATGTGAGGTCATTCATTTTGTTGGGAATAATAGCACATTGGACTATTAAGTAAATGTTGAAAAATTGCAGCATGCTGCTATGCAAGAGGGACCTGGGTGTCCTTGTGCATGAATCACAAAAGGTGGGTTTGCAAATGCAGCAGGTAATTAAGAAGGCAAATAGAATATTGTCCTTCATTGCTATACGAATGGAATTTAACAACAGGGACACATTTTGCTGCAGCTGTATAGGGTGCTGGTGAGGTCACACCTGGAGTACTGTATACAGTTTTGGTCTCCTTACTTCAGGAAAGGGTGTACTGGCACTGGAGGCGGTGCAGAGGAGGATCACTAGGTTGATCCCAAAATTGAGAGGGTTGGCTTATGAGGAGAGATTGAGTAGACTCGGACTATACTCATTGGAATTCAGAAGAATGAGGGAGGATCTTATAGAAATGTATCTATTCCCTTCATAAATTTTTAAGATAGAAGCAGGGAGGTTGTTTCCACTGGCGGGTGAAACTAGAACTAGGGAGCACAGCTCAAAATGAGAGGAAGCAGATTTAGGACGGAGTTGAGGAGGAACTTCTTCACCCAAAGGGTTGTGAATCTGTGGAATTCCCTACAGTGAAGCAGTTGAGGCTACCTCATTGAATGTTTTTAAAGCATAGATAGATAGATTTTTGAGCAGTAAAGGAATTAAGGATTATGCTGAGCAGGTGGGTAAGTGGAACTGAGTCCATGAAAAGGTAAACCATGATCTTATTGAATGGCGGAGCAGGCTCGAGGGGACAGATGGCCTACTCCTGTTCCTATTTCTTGTCATCTTACATTCTTCTTTTCATTCCAGAAGGTCAAGTAACAGAATAAATTGCTATCCGGTATTTGTATTTACCAGCAATAACTGCAGTTGGGCACAAACAATGTGATGAAAGTTCACGGCACATTGCACCATGCTGGGTTAAGTTGGTTCACAGGTCTCTGAATACTTGGAACATGGAAAACAACAGGACTAGGGCACGCATGGAAGCAATCACTATATTCTTTAATCTACTGCTGGCCAGGGGGCACATTTGCAATTTTCCCTTCTACTGTGGATTTGTGGCTATTAAAATATAATTGGGAGGATGATACTAATCTTCCTGGAAGCTGAATACTCAAATCTTTAAGCTTTTAATTACTCTTGGGGTATACTTGCAAAACCCACATTTAAAAAAAAGTCCAGGTTTCAGATAACTGGATCCAAGGTATTATACTTTAGCCAAAAAATTCTGAGAAACTTAGTTAATGTACTTTCTTAGATAAAGCAACACTTACGATTTCTACCTTGAAGAACTCGAATGGAAATGCAACATAGCATAAACAAACAACACAAATAAAATGAAACAGGCGATTGCATACGATACTTTTGATGTCACAATTTTGTAATTCAGCTGGACAACATGTTCCAATTTGCAGTTTCTCTAAATGTTCAGTGGATTTAGACGTTAATCAGTGTGTGCGATGGTCGTGAAATATCTCAATCAAAGGACGAGGGAAGTGATAAACACAGCAAGAAGTTGATTTCAAATGAACTCATTTTTGAGAGAGGGTACTCCCTCTGATTAGAAGGCACATCAACAACAGCAGCAGCAAAAGTGTACCAATGAGACAAAATGAATCAGAGCCAAGTAAGATAAGAATTTGCTAGAAATGATAAGCATAGCTCTGATCTCACCTAGATAAATGTGTCAAAATGGATGAACAATGGGAACTTTCCACACCATTCAGACTTCTAAATCTACTGTTATGTTAAAATTGGAATTCCCACCTGGTGAGTCAGCAGTCCTCTTCTTCACACTAAAGCTTACAGCATACACGACAATTTCACATATTGGGAAACAAATGAGTTACCTGCCAGTTAGACAGTTTGGAAATAAAAAGAACAGATGCAGGAATATACAAATGAATCATTACCAACAGCCATTTGGGGCAAGACAGCAGGAAAAATGGATCTGTAAACAAGAACTGGAAGCTGACTCTCTTTCTGTCTGTCTCAATCAACCACAAAAGTTTGTGCCTGTTAGAAAACAATTTTGATTATCACCATTCACTGAGGACTCAAATTCTGTAAACTTCACTACAGCTGAAGAAATAAGGCAATATCTAAACAATCAGGACTCAGGTCATTCTCACAACTCAAGGGCACTAAGAACTTGTAAGTGCTGCTATCTTTACCTTCTCATCTATACAGTATGGAGTGAGTCGCCTTAGGAGCCCTCTGGACTGAATCCCATCAAATCTCATGGCATCAGGTCAAACATGGGCAAGCATATCTGCTGCTGAGCACATACTACCCCGTTCAAGGTTGCAGTGAAGATTTGTAGCTCAGGTGCTGGTTGTAAATATTGGTGTGCTCGCCAAGCTGAGAGGTTTGATAGTAGACGTTTTGTCCCCTTGCTAACACAGGAGGCATCCACAGCACTAAGGATGTCACCTAGTAAGGGGACAAAATGTCTGCTGTCTAACCTCCTAGCTCAGCAAACACACCAACATCTACCTGCTACCTCATCTCAGCTGAATTAGCTCTTCTCCACGTTGAACACAATTTGGAAGATGCACTGAGGGTGGCAAGGGGGCAGAATGTACTCTGGATGAGTGTCTTTAGCGTCCACCAGCAAGGTTTGATTGGTAGCACACTACTGATTAAGCTAGTTGAGTGTTACAAGACATAGCTGCTAGACTGCAGCAAGTGGTGAGGGAACCAGCAAAAGGGAAAATGCACCTTACCTCATCCTCATCAAACTACCTTTGGCAGATGCAGCCATCCACAAAATTATTAGTAGGAGTGAGCAACACAAAGCCCTCGTGGAGATAAGGTGCCACCTTTGCAATGAGGATACCCTCCATGTTGTGTAGCACTACCATCATGTGGAACGGGATACATTTTGAGGAGAAATAGGATCTCAGGACCTGGCATCCATGAAACACTATGGGGCAATTTCAGCAGCAGAATTATATTCAACCACAATCTGTAACCTCATAGCCCAGCATATACTGGACCCCAGTATTACCATAAAGCTAGGGAATCAACTCGGATGCAATGTACAGTGCAGGAAGGTATGCTAGCGGCAGCACTAGGCATACCTAAAAATGAGGGGTCAATCTAGTGAAACTAAACCACAGGACTAAACGCATGCTGAACAACATAAGCAGCATGCAACAGACTGAGTTAAGTGATCCCATGACCAATGGATCAGATCAAGCTCTGCAGATCTGCCACAGTCATGGCCGGGGGTGGGCAAATTAAACAATTTTCCAGGGATCCACAAATATCCCATCCTCGGTATTAGGGCAGCCCAATATATCAGTGCAACACAACAATACTTAAGCCAGAAGTGATGAGTGGAAGACCTATCTAGGCCTCTTCCCGAG